CCTGAAGGCCAGTGATCTTGTAAAGGAGTCTGCTGGGCTGTGATCGCGCTCAGTTGCTGGTATTTACCAAGGTTGCTCTCTATCCACTGGGAGACCGAGTATGTGCAATGGAGCATCAGCTGCCAACCCTCCTCTGGAATACCCCCACACCAGCAACAGAAACTAGGAAATGCCTTTTTTAAAAAACTGCTTAAATAAAACTACCAAACATCTAATTACTATTTATGTCAGAAAAATGCAGAAGAAATTTTAAATCACCATAGTTAAAGATGCACATATAGAAATGGGAAATGTGCTTTATAGAACAAATTCAAAGAAATAGAACTTATTAAGGATGCATCATAGTCATATTTTTCCAGAGGGGAGTTAGACGGTGGAGTCCCAATAAGAATTACACAATCTCTCTGGTGCTATCTCCCAAGACAGTCTGTTCAAATAATTTAGTCATTTCTCACCAAGGCATGTACACATACATGTAGCATCTTCCTTTCATACATTCTCTTCCTGAAATAATTCTATTTCCAGAGCAATGTCACCAGGTAGGGCCTGTATTTCCTTCAAAGAACAAGCCAAGTTCAACTGCTCCCTTGAGGGCTAGAAAAGGCAGCCAGCATTCAACACTTTGTCTTCCTTTCCCTGTGTCAGGTGGCATGTATCTTTTATATACTTACTTCTTAAATCTCTTAAAACCAAATACAGTATCTCAGAGGTCCAGCCTCTATTTCAATAAACAATTTTGCATCTTGACTTTCACAGATTTAACACTGTACTATAATCATATATATTTCTAAATAATTAGAAGTATCAGGGAAATTCACAAAATACCCTAGCGGCCACAGTATGTCATTGCTGTTTTATTTTTAATTGTCTTAATTTTCTTATTGCTGAGACAAAATATCTGATGCCCAAATTAAAGGATGGAAAGGTTTATTTACCTCACAGTTTGTAGAGGTTTTAGTCTATATTTGGCTGGCTCCAAGGCAGAGGGGCAACACTTCAAGGCAATGGAAAACAGCAAAAGCAACAAGGGGGCAAAGATAAGATTCTTCCTTGTCTCTCACAGTATATGCAGACTACTTGCCCTAGGGCTGGTGTAGTACTCACACCCTTAACCAACCCCAGCATCATGCACTCTGGATTCAGCCACTCCTGAAGAGTCCATCTCACAATTGCATAAGGCTTTGGGGAGACATCCAGACACAAATCATAACATTAATCTAGCTGATAAGGCTAATTATGAGTTCATGTGTTTCTTTGCTGAGTAAGTTTCACCACGCAACACCTACATATTCTATGGTCTAATATGTATGCTTTGGTTCTAGAAATATAAAAATAAAATAGAGCTCTTCTGTTAAAGTCACAATTACTTGTTACTAACTTTCTCAGGGTAGTAGTATTTGTGACTTAAGCAAGGTTAGTTTGTCATTTAAATCAGAGTAAAATGATGGTGTGGAGGGTAGCTATGAAGAGAAGATGATTTCAAGGAAAGAAGCTGAATAGGGATACTTTTGAATAACATACAAGATAACCACTGTGTTAGGCAAAGTCTCTCATTGCTGAGACAAAAATACAATGCGCAAAATTAAGGGAGAAAAGGTTTATTTAGCTCACAGTTTGTGGAGGTTTTAGTGTGTAATCAGTTGGTTCCGGGGAGGGTGGAATTGCAAAGGGGCAACGTTAGGGCAGCAGAAGACAGTAGAAGTAACAAAAGCAAATGAGGGGGAGAAAGCCTTTTTCTTCCTTTAGTGTGAAGGTAGGCTACCTGCCCTAGTGCAAGTGTAACAGTCACACCATCTGTGCTCTCTGCTTGGGCATGCTCAGGATGTTTACAAAGTGAGGACCCTGAGTCCCTGCTGAGCTGCTTAGCTAAACAAGCTGACATAGTGTATCGACCATTACAAGCACTAAAGAAAAACAGCACCCATTGAAAAATAATAATATCTTTCTTGCTCTTTGTCTACATGTTTAGGAATCAGAAGTGGTCAACCAAGGAAGGACTAAGGAATGAACTAATTATCTTTAGTGGCCCAAGCAATGAGCAATACTCAACGTGCACCAATGAAGAGCCTTTCCAAAGCAGGCCTCTCAAGATCCTTACTTAGAAAAACTTGATTATACATCAGGTCATAATAATACCTAACTAACATTAATTTTTTTTCTCTTAACATTGACTTCACAAAGTAAATTACTATTTTCCTTAATTACACCTGACTTTGGAGGTGGTCTGGAGGAGGTTCCTTCTCTCTATAATCCCTAACTCTCATTCTGAACTGTGCCTTAGACCCAGACTTTGCAAATCAAAATGAGAAGGCAATATGGACATACATTTGTTACTTTATAAAGATTAAGTATTCAGGAAGGGTTATTCAATTAGTTATGACTCAAAAATTGAGAAGGCTCAAGGATGACTGGAATTTTGTGCCACAGAAGTTATTCTTAGAAATTTCAACTTACATACCATGAATATGTATTCTATTCCCACTATATATATATATATATATATATATATATATATGCAATTTCTTCACAAGTTCTACTAATTTTTCCTTTCTGCTATTCCGCATCGCTTAATGTGCCCTTATATTCACTGTGGAGTAGATGCTGCCCCCTCTACAAGCTCTCATCACACATCTCCTGCAGCAAGCTAGCTTCAGTGACCTAATTCAGAAGAGTCTTCCTCCATCGGCTCACAGACAGCTTGCTATACAGCCACACCTGCTCTGATCACACAGTTATAACTGCGTGGTTTCTCCACTGCTGATCCCGAAGACTGTCCCGTTCCTGTTTTTTCTAGCACTTACATAGGAATTATCCCACACACAGAGTGCTTGGGAAGGCTTCAGATCAAAGCCCATTTTGAAGCATTTCTGGGTGTGGATGGGCTGCTGAAGATTGCTACCTATGAATCTGAGTGGTCACCTTTTCCTTCCCAGTGTGCACAGGACTCCAGAGACCCACTACCACCAAGCCCACAGGGAAGCCTCGTGATGTGGGAGTCGGATCAAAATAAAACCTTTCTCTAAGTTCCACTTGAAAACTTGGTGATGCCTAAGAAGGGCTGATATAGAATCTGTTTTTCAAGTCAATGCCTTTGTCCTTCACGCAGGAAAGCTGCAAAAGAGTTTCTTCATCAAGTGCCAAACAAACAGGAATTTAGAAAGATTCAACTAAAAACAACTTACAATTCCACCAAAGAGAATCTCTCTACCTAGCTGTGTTCAGTGCATCAAAACTTAGTGCCATGGTAACCAGTAAGTGTGGTGGGTTTTATGAAGTCTTCTTTAAATTAATCTTACTAGCAGGTTTATTTCTTTATCTCAGTCTTTTGCTTAGACTTTTCATTTGTTTATTTTATACTTAAATTCTTTCACATGGAGGTAGAAATGTATAATAATAACAGAAAATAACGTGTTTTTAACTGAAATGCTGGTGCAAAGCTAGTATATGCACAATTAGACTATTTTGTAATGAGTTATGTTCACAGGCAATTTAAAGCACATTAATCCTGGGACGTTAAAACCCGTATATTTTATCTTCTTATCTTTTTCTTCCCCTATTTAGGAATGAATGGAAGAAAAATTCAACATTTGAGATAACTGTACTTTTTAAAAGAAATAGCAATAATCACTTTGAAAGATAATGTTTAACTGAAGAAATTTTAAAGCTTCTCCAGAATTTAAAAATAATGAAAGAAGAAAAGGAAAAAAGTTAAAGCAGCACACCCCTGTGAACATGTCACCAGGCATTAATTCAAAGTATGGGGCTAGGGGTTAGCTCGGTCGAAGAGCAACTCCCAGCATGCACAAGGTCCTGCAATTCTCAGTATCTATCAGAGGAGGAAAAAATTCAAGGTTAATTTCATGTCTTGGGATAAAGTGCTAACATTCAAGATTGATCATACAGTGGCAGAGTTCTGAGTATATCAAAATTTCAGTTAGGGGACATTCCATAAACTATGTACTTTATATACAGATGAGACCTGGCTTGTCACAGTTACCAATGCATAACAGATGCTTACAATAAAATAAACTGCCCAGGTACTTACAGTAAAATAAACAACAACAAATGTGGTAAGAATGAAATAAGTTCAAAATTAAGATGGCAAAGAGTTCATACATCTTACAAAGTAGTCATCAGATGGGCAGGTAAGAGAGGATGCAACAGAACTTCAATGACAAACTAATGGTCCTAGGTGTGCTAACACAGGGGACGGATGTGATGAGCTCCACTAGTTCCAAGCAGAGCATCCCCTGCCCAGACATCAGTGATAAAATCAACTCACTCTACATAATTATATTCATCCCTTCCCCCAAAAAACAGTTCTTTTATTGGGGGGTGGGGCACAATCAGGGAAACTTTTGTTAAGGATGTGTGGCCTGACAGTAGTGAAGGCTGGATTAGTAGTCCGCAATACAACTCTTTGACAGTCTTGAGTATTTGGAGATTAAAGAAAAAGAACCACAAGCAACATGGAAGGAGATCAATCTTTAGCTCATTGAATTTTCTAAAACTTCGAAGATTTTTAGAAATTATCAAAGTCGTATAAAATCGGACAACTTAATGATCTTACAGACAAATCTAATCATCTTAATTACCCAGGTCACTTTTGGATGAATTTTCCTAGACAATCACATTAAAGTCTAACTAACTTTTCAGTTCTAAGTAGGATTTGAACTCTAAAGTCATCAATTTACAGCAAAGTCAAAAGTGTGCTCAGAAAAATAAAATAGTTGCAAAAAGTGTGCCCAGATGAATGAACAATAAACTTATTAGGACAATTTAAATGCATGATTTCTTCCCACAACTGAGAAAGCTCTCTGCATCAGGCTAAGTGCTTTCTGTGATTCAGACATCTATGGAAGAATGCAGTAGCTGTTGCCCCCAAGTGAAAATGTTTCCCATTAAGCACATGCTAAGTCAACACCACTCTATATCTGAGCATACATGAAGATAAAATACTCTACATTATGATTCAATTAAAAACCTCCAAGATACGTTACCTGCCGCCTCGCGCACTGAAAGGCACTACATGGATTCCCAGAGGCCCTCCATCGTTGGAGACTTGTACGAGCTTTACCAAATCACTGTGAGACAATGATGAATGAGGGAGCATGAACATGGACTGTAAACAAACCAAAACCGAAACACACAACACAAAGACCACCACTACACAGACACAGGACAAAACAACAGAAGAGACGAAACAAAACTTCCACCAAGCACGCACGTGGATACACACAGATTGGGGAATACAAGCATGGTGGCGAAGGCAACGTCAAACACATACATACCTGAAGGCTAGTCTGATGGCATGGAGGGAGAGCAATCATCAGAAACAACTGAGTTAAAAATGACACAGACCATTTCTCTTGGACCATACTAGTGCGTGTAATGTGAGTTCATGCTTTGCAAGTCAAGTCTCTAGATTTCTACTTCAAATGTATCACTCTGGTAGGGAGTTCAAAGACCCTAAAGATTAGCTGAGCAGCAGCATTCCAGGTACACAGCACTTGGTAATTTAGAAAGAGCTCTAATACGTGTCACGTCATCAATCCTTCCAATAAAGTAATGAGATCAAAGTTTGCACCCTCAGAGGTGATTCTCATTGTCCTCACTGCCCACTCTTCTACGATGGTGGAAAATCACTGTTTCCTTAACTGCTATAAAAGCACTGGAACCACAGGCTATAAAGCTTCATTCTCAAAAACTACCCTATTTTAGATACTGCTTATACAATCTGAACATCTCTTTAAGAATGGTGTAACTGAAATAGATTTATTTTTTCCATTTTCTTTCTTAAAAACTGTGGCACGGTAAGTATCTTTTAAATAGAAATATTCCAAGTGCCAGTTAGTACATATCTAAATATTATCTGATTCTAGAGCTTGCTTACTCTCACCAAAAATGTACTTAGAGCTCTCCCTTGGAAGACCAAGAGAAGACAAAATGAAGCTTCATATATCTCATTCAACATCCTAAACCTTTACCAACATCAAAGAAAGACTCTCTTAGCTCTAAGCCATCAAAGGAAGAGGTCCTGAGATCACTTTCCATTTCAAATGTATCAGTATTTAAAATAATTGCAAAGCACTGATAATACTGAAAAAGATTTTATCCTTATATTTAAAATCATGTTCAAGGTCCTAGATACATGACCTCTAAAGTTTCATTAAGTATCTTGAAAGACTGTTTCTTTAACCAAAGAAGCATTTATGCAACAATGCCTCATGTTTACATGATCCAATTAGTTTTTCAAGTAACTATATCCACAATTTTCTTTAATTTGGTAAAGTTGAAGGACAAATGACCAAAATATTGACAGACAAAGCGATCTGACAACAGTTACTGTGTTTACAGTGCTTTTAACATAATGAACGTTTTCCATCAAATACTATTTGATATTCTAACCTAACAGTGTTTGCCAAGGCATGAAACTCAGGACGTGTACATGTGAATGTCATGCCATGCTGCTTATGTCACAGAGTTAACAGATGAAAGATGTGCTTAGGAGGGTCAAATCAATGCAAGGTACGCTTTTTAAACACAAACATTCCTCATGCCATATGCTTTCAGAGTACTTGCTGCAGTTAATGAAACTTACATGAACAGCACGATTCCAGTTAAAACCATGAGTAACTTACTCCAGAGAAAAGCTGGTTACACTCTCCAAGCCGGTGTCGGCGTGCCCCACTGGCTCCACTCGGCTACTGTCTTCTGCCAGCCCATCCTCCTCCTAGAGGCCACAGACACAAGCAGAAGAACACTCAGTTAGGTCTGTCTCGTGGTAAGAAACGATGTTGTCACCAAGCTCGACAGGCATTACACCCATGTGAACTAGATCTTTCGCAAGGGAGGATGACCTTTAATGGTAAGATGTGAACACAAACGTGAACAGCTGAATTTTGCCAGATCCCCAGAGGTGAACAAGACACTATTCCTGGAGAAGGAAAGAATACTGAACTTCCATTTATGTCAATTTTCTTCACTTGTTATGTTAAGGTCTTGGGATGTATGTGTGTTAAGAAATCAGAATATATGACTACAATGTTGAGATATACCCATAAACAAATGTATGTAACACTGAAGGTATCGAAAATTTTACAAATCCAAACAGCCAAGATTAATGACAGCCATGACTCCTACTAAAACTGACCAGGTCATCACAGGTCACCTCCTCAGTTCCCGCTAACTCAGATGATCAAAATGAGCATGGGGTGAGTATAAGCTCAAATTAAACTCCTGCATCTGGGAAGTTTCATATAGCCTAAGCTGGCTAACTGTCTGGAGTTATTAAGGTCTCAGCCAGAAAGAATCACTTCTATCTTCATCTATCAAGGATCAAGCATGAAGAAAAACACAAACTGCAGTGTAATCAGCCTTCACATTTACATGTGTCCATCCTCCAACACACATATCCCATGCGTTGTACGCACAAGGTAAGCATGTCTGTGCTACAAAAGGTGTATGTGAAATAAATGTGGTTGTTTACAGAAACAAATGAAATTCCACGCAAGAATATTCTTTAATTTATAACCTTGGCCATGGTCTCTTTCTTAAGGAATTCACTAACACTTAGTTAAGTCTTACTTAAAATGGCTTTTCAAGAGCATTTAAATAAGGATAAACATGCTTAACTGGTATCAATGTTCTGCTAACCAAATTAGCTTATTTAGAAAAGACTCAGATTCTCCAAATACAATGATAAAGAGACCCACCTGCATGTTACAGGAGATCCCTCATGTCTGGCACCTATTAAGCACTCTGTAAATATTTTGCTAATTAAAGTAAAATCATCCCTCAGAATCTCTGGGGATGTCACAAAGCAAAGAAGTAAAAATTTATTTAATCTGTTTCTTGGAAGTCTACATGTATAATTTATACATTAAATGGGCTGAATTTCCTTTTTTTTAATTTTAGAAATTTGACATCAGTGATGGTATTGTGAACTTATTAAAACTCCCTGTGCTGAAAATCAATTGTGGGGAAAAAATTGTATATTTTTACTTCTGTCTTTGACAGACTCACAGAGTCATCAACAGAGACATCCATCAACAAAATGATAAGCAAGAGCCATAGGATCAAGACACAGTGACAAGCAACATAGTAAACTGCTAAAGGGCATGAGGGCAAGCAGTGCCCCACTTGCTCCGGGAACCCAGCAAACAGTGAGTGCCCCGTGGCTCCCCAGAAACTGTGGATGTGTTCCACGTGTCCCAGCCGGGGGTTCGAGGCATGGAGCCAGACTACTCGAAGATGGATGAGCCAATGTTGGAGAGGCTCTAATGCATCCCTCTTAGTCATCTATCTCTCTTAAGCACCGCACATAATACATCTCAAAGGTTAACAGCATCTTGAACCTGCCCAAGAACTGTGCTCCGAATGTAAACACCAACTCCCAAAGGATGCTTTTCCGCTGGGACCAGGGGAGGAGCGGAGAGCAACGTTTACAAACCAGATGTAAGTCATAAAAATAATTGTACATCAGAGGTATTTTGTTTCAGGATTAATAATTTAAGCTCTACTGAAATGCCAACAAGATGTATGGTCCAGATGAAAGCCCTATGCTGCCCTATGAAATAGTCACATAAATGGAGAGCCCCAACGCCAGGGATAAACCCAAGGCTGCTAACCCACATATTCACTGCTCCCACGGTGCCCATCAGCAGCCCCCGAGCACTCCGCAGATTAGTCACGGAGCTGCAGATGGGGTTCAGTGTGGACTGCAGTGCACAGGGCCCCGAGGCAGAGCTGTGGTTACTGTGGGAACCGCAACTTAGAATTCCTCAACACCTCCACGCGTACATATCAGCTCCTCCATGGTTTCCTTTTGTTGTCTGGTGTTCTTTAGAAAGCTGTGGCAGAACACAGTTACTTTTAGTATGAGGAACACACTGGTTTCCACTGTAGTCATAATAAATGATGCTTAGTTATTAAATATTTCCAATCAATATTTAAGGGCTGTACTATTACTATAGGTAGTGTTAACGAAACTCCTCATGAGACAATATATTTTCTTTTCCCCTTGCTCCATTTTACTGTAGAGAATAGAAGAATGTAGGCTCAAGAGTTAAAATGTTAGGAATTAAAACAAGGAAAAGTTAAAAATATTTGACAAATTCTAGTATTTGCCAATTTTATAGCCTTCAGCATATTATATACCCTCCTATATTGTACCTTTCTGTAAAATGGGATCAGTAAGAATACATTCTTCTTAGTACTAAAAAGAAGACTGCAAGATAATCCATTTCACAAGCATGATGTGGTGCCCAACACACAGTAATCGCAAAACAGTGATTTAGAAATGCAATCAAAAGCTGAACTAAAGAGTAAGTTCCTGATACATAAAACACACCTCCATAAATATTTAAGGATAATCATGCACAAACATAAGACACTTTAGTACACATTTGTCCTTTCATGTTCCATGTCCTTGCAAAACAATTGAATAAACATACTCAACTAAATCTAAAAACTGTCTATAACCAAGAAACTAATATGACACCTGATATTTACTGTGCTTTGTATACTTAGTATACAAAGTATTTTCATTGCAAAATGTCTTTGAGAGGAAAACAAATTAAGAAAAAGATAAACTACTAACTGCTACTTCCAATCAAGTACATGACAGAAGGAGGAACACTATGGGTTAGCTAGTAGATAAGGAAATTTTCAACAAGAAAACTGTAAAGAGAACTGTACAGCACCTTATAAATACAATCACAATGCATCATTTAAAAGGCACATTAATAGTAAAAAGAACTGTGAAATGCCCTGATCTTAGCCTCCCTGAATGCTGGCTCCGGGAAGAGACAGAGAACTGACACCTCCATTAGTCAGTACACACCCTTACACACAGTGGTTTCTCAAGCAAATGCCCTCACAAGTGACATCTGAAGAGGGCCAGGGGCCACTGGCACACATAGAAGTCTGGGTGTAGGGAACTCATACCTTTTAAATGAGCAGTGAACATGCCTGCTTACTGCTTGCTATACAGCAGACACTATATCTATGCTGCAAAACACCCTAGAAACAAGGGCTCTCCATCCTCACATTATACAAAAATGCAGGAGAGCCATAGAGAATTATCCCAACAACACGCTTAATTGAAGCACTAACAAATAACATCTGCGTGGTTAGGAGCATATCATTAACAACTGCTCTATGATAACAATGCCTGAAATCATAACACTAAATTTTGTAAGATAAGAATCACACCACCTATAGAGAAAAATAACGATTTTTGTATGGAACTATATGGCTAAACAAAACAAAAAAATCAAATCAAGTGTGATTTGATTTTTTGTTTGTTTTTGAGAAAAGGTCTTGCTATGTAGTCCAGGCTGGCCTCAAACTCACTACAATCCTCCTGCCTCAGACTCCAAAATGCTGTCGTGTACCCCCATGCTCACCAAGGACAGTTTCTCATGAAATTGTTTTGGTACAGGGTCCAGCAAACCCCAGCAAACTCCAATAAAACAATGACAGGAAGCCAATGAAAGTTACAGGATGTGGGCAGACCAATACCCCAAGGAAGTGGAAGCCAGTTCTGATTGGAGCTGAAGGATGGTGAAACCAGGGAAGCTGTCTTGAGGAGGGAAAAAAAGAATGATGATGATGATGATGATGATAAATGGTCTGGTGATTTAAAATATTTGGTAAATAATAGCAACAAAATATAGAGAGAAAATTAAAGATCCATATTAAGAACAGACAAAGCTTTAAAAAGCCACAGAAATTTTAATTTCAAGAAAAACAGTGTAGAAGTTAGAGTACCTGCTTGCTTATTTAGCGAGCAATTCTTACACTGCCATGCAATGTGAAGGTTTTTTTTTTTTTTTTTTTTGTAATTGGTGCTGAGATCAAGCCTGCTGCCTCTTGAATGCTAAGCATGCTAAGCACACACCACATTCCTGAATTACACCCTGAATCCTAAACTTCAACTTTTGTTACATCATTCCTGCTTTTTCTAGTTATAAAAATAATCACATTTTAAGGAAGACATTCTGAATCTTCACTCTGAAATGCTGATGGCTTCTAGATGTGTAGTTTTCATTAGATTTAACTGATCTGTTTTTCTTTTAAGAGAGAAAACAAATATTTGATAAGTCTAGGTGAGACAAGTAAGTTTTAGATGGGTTAGGAATGCCTGGGAGGGCAGGGGAGATGGAAATTTATGTGAAACTATAACTGAGCTTCCAGTAGAAATTAATAAGCTTACCCTTACAATAATAGTAATACTATACACAGTGCCAATAGGTAATTTTATTTTATTTTTTAAGCATATATCTTTTAGTACTAGGGATTGAATCCAGGGTCTCTTAGGAAGCTACCTAGCTCTGAAGCTACCTCTAGCCCTCGATAACACATTTTTGAAATCATAGAAGACAATATAAACTAAAACAAAATTTGATTGAACTCTTAAATATGTGGGGAACCACTCAGACTGCTCCAAAACTCAGGGTCATCTAAGGACACCTGAGGACATGACCTCGCTTATTTGGGGAAGGCTCACAGCGGGACACAGTTATGTAATCATGATTTAGCACGGATAAACACGCATATGCTGGTCACAGCACTATGTAAGAAAGTAAACATGAGATAACAACCTGCAGAGGAATTGCACAGTAAAGACGTAGGGTCCCTGGCTCCTGTGCTCTGGCTCCCTGCTCTCCTCCGCTCCATCTGCATGCTGTTGGTGCGGATGTTTTGCACACATGTGCTGTTTAACCTGGG